CGATTCTCGCTTTCGTATTCTTGCTTTATCGATTTCGGCGATTTTCCGATCCGTAGTAGCGCGTTTATAACAAGTGGTATCAGAGCCCGGTTCGGTGCGGGGCGTTGGACATAAGTTTGGTGGACCCTCATTCGGTGGCCTTGGGATTTGCGATCCGCGTCTGGTTTGGTGGATCCACGAGAGATCCACGTTTGGGCTACATCTAGTTTGGCGGATCGAGGGAGGTCCGCGTTTGTTCTGGAAAAATCCTTGTACCGAGAAGCCCATCGATACAAGGCGTCTAGCGGATCAAGATAATCGATGAGGTGAAGACACAAAGTTTGTGGTCCTTGGTTTGAGGGGAGGATTGTTATGGGACAATCCAAGTACCACATCGGTAATACAAGGGAAGGGACCCTTGTATATTAGTGTCCACCAAGCTCATTAGTACGAGGCCTTTTGGGGAGGAAATCCAAGAATAAAACCGTGCAGGCTTGGCCCAAAGCGGACAATATCATTCTAACTGAGTAGCCCGGTTATGACAAGTGGTATCAGAGCCGCGGCTGAAAATCAGGCTAGGGTTTTTTCGATTCAGAAGAATGACGTCGGTGAACATGAAGATCGAAAAGTTCACGGGGAAGAACAGCTTCGCTATATGGCAGATCAAGATGTAGGCTTTATTAAAACAGCAAGGGCTGTGGGGGCTGTTGTCTGCGAAACAGAAGAAGGCAACGGTCGATGACGATGAGTGGAATACCCTGGAGGAGAAGGCCTACTCGACCATCATGCTATCGCTGTCTGATGACGTCATTATTGAAGTCGCTGCTGAGAAGACTTCCGCGGGCTTGTGGTTGAAACTAGAGAGTATGTACATGACTAAGTCTCTAACCAACAAGCTACATCTCAAGCAACGGTTGTTCAGCTTGAGGATGCAAGAAGGTACGCCTTTGAGGGAACATCTCGAACAGCTTAACTCTATTTTGCTGGATCTACGTAATATAGATATTCAAGTTGATGACGAGGATGCTGCCCTAATCCTACTGGTTTCTTTGCCGAGTTCATATGAGAATTTCGTTGATTCTTTTATTGCTGGAAAATAAAGCGTGTCGTTGGAGGATATCAGGTCTCCTCTTCATACGAGAGAGATCATGCATAAGGCGTCTGGATCTGGTACAGGTGGTGAGGCATCGGGTTTGGCTGTTACAGGTGGAAAGGGAAAGAAGAAATCTGGTAAAGGAAATTTGAACAAGAATTCCAAGGGTCCCGGTCCACAACCAGGTTATGCTTGTCACAACTGTAAGGAAGTGGGGCATTGGAAGTACAATTGCCCCAAGAGAAGAGGGCAACAGAAGAAACAAGGTTCAGTTGTCGTGGCAGAAGTGGACAACAGTTCTGAAGACGATCTCGCATTGGTTGTAGATGAGAAGGCACATCGTGGTGATGTGTGGTTTCTGGATACTGCAGCCTCATACCATATGTCTCCGAACAGGGATTGCTTCACAACCTACGAGCAGATAGATTGTGGTAATGTGGTCATGTCAAATGGAGTTGTCTGCAAGGTTGTTGGAATCGGGTCCATAAAGGTTCGGGCACATGATGGTTCGTTTTGTACCGTGAATGATGTCAGGCATGTTCCACGAATGACAAAGAACCTGATCTCCTTGAGTTTACTCGACAGCAAGGGTTTCAGTTTCAAAGGAAAAGGTGGAGTTGTGTATGTCTGCAAAGGTTCAAGGAAGGTGCTGAAGGGCGTGAAGCGTGGGACCTTGTATGCATTACAAGGATCTGTGTTGTCTGGTTCTGCTACAGTTGCATCGTCTCAGGTTCATCAGGAAGATATGACCACTCTCTGGCACATGAGACTGGGGCATATGAGTGAACGGGGGATGCAAGTTCTGTCGACGAGGGATCTTCTTTGCGGGCACAAGGTGCAGAAGTTGGAATTCTGCGAGCATTGTGTGTTTGGGAAGCTACATCGCAACAAGTTTCCCAAGAAGGGTATCCACCGGACGAAGGGGATACTGGATTACCTCCACTCCGACTGTTGGGGTCCTTCATGAATTGAATCCATTGGAGGCAGCAGGTATTTTCTGTCTATTATTGATGATTATTCGAGATTTACTTGGATTTTCTTGATGAAGCAGAAAAGTGAGGCTTTCACGAAGTTCAAGCAGTGGAAGACATTGGTGGAGAATCAGACCTAGAAGAAGATCAAGAAGCTGCGAACGGACAACGATGTGGAGTTCTGTAATTCTGAGTTTAACGAATTCTGCAAGGATGAAGGGATTGCCCGTCATCGGACTGTGAGAGATACACCCCAGCAGAATGGCGTTGCAGAAAGGATGAACCAGTCATTTTTGGAGAGAGCACGATGCATGCTCTCTAATGCTGGACTAGAGAGAAGATTCTGGGCAGAAGCAGTGAACATGGCGTGCTTCCTGATCAACCGTGGACCTCACACAGGTATCGAGTTGAAGACTCCTTATGAGGTGTGGTATGGTAAGCCTGCTGATTACTCATCACTGAAAGTTTTTGGGTGTCCTGTTTATTATCACGTGGATGAGGGTAAACTGAACCCAAGGGAAAAGAAGGGTGTATTTGTGGGTTACGGAGATGGATTTAATGGATTTCGAGTCTGGTCACCTTCTGAGCATCGAGTTATACTCAGTAGAAATGTGACATTTGATGAGAAGTCTATGTTTCACCCCATGTTGAAGGTTACTGTTGTTGAAGGTAGCAGGAATGTTGATAAGCAGGTGGAGCTGCAAACTCTCAATGAGAGTGAGTTTGAGCACCAAGGTGGAGAATATCAACATGAGGATGTTTCTACAGATACAGAAACTTCAAGGTCCAGTGCAGGAGCTCAACAGTCTATAGCTTCCGATAGACCAAAGAGAGCGACTGAATGAGTACCTCCAGAGAGGTATGGTTTCGAGGACATGGTGGCGTAGTCATTTCAGGTTGCTGAAGAAGTGGATGCAGGTGAGCCACAGTCCTATAGAGAAGCCGTTTCGGGTGGCGAAGCTGATCAGTGCCTTGCCGCAATGGGAGATGAGATGGAATTCCATGACAGGAATCAGACTTGGGAGCTAGACAAACGACCACAGGGAAGGAAGATTGTTACAAACAAGTGGATCTACAAGAAGAAGGAAGGAATCACTTCTAAAGAGGGCATGAAATTTAAAGCTCGGGTGGTTGCACGAGGCTTCTCACAGAGGGAAGGAGTTGACTACAATGAGATTTTCTCACCAGTGGTCAGACATACTTCGATCAGAGTGCTACTAGCAATAGTGTCACATTATGACTTGGAGCTCGAGCAGCTAGACGTGAAGACAGTTTTCCTACATGGAGAGTTGTAGGAAGAAATTTACATGACTCAGCCTGAAGGATTCCAGGTTCCGGGAAAAGAAGACTATGTTTGTAAGCTGAAGAAGTCTTTGTATGGACTTAAGCAAACTCCGAGGCAGTGGTACAAGAGTTTTGACAGTTACATGCTCGAGCTGGGCTACAGCAGAAGTCCATATGATTGTTGTGTGTATCACAACAAAGTGGAGGATGGTTCGATGATCTATCTTGTTCTGTATGTGGATGATAAGCTCATAGCCGCGAGGTTGAAGTCTGATATCCAGAAGTTGAAGGGGCTTCTCAGTGCTGAGTTTGAGATAAAGGATTTGGGAGCTGCTCAGAAGATCTTGGGTATGGAGATTTACAGGGATAGGTCGAAGAATAAGCTTTTCTTGTCACAAAAGAGCTACATCCAGAAGATACTGTCGAGGTTTGGCATGTCTTCAGCAAAGCCCTTAAATACTCCTAGTGCTTCAAATGTTCATCTATCCTCAGCTTATGCACCGTAGTCAGAGGCTGAGAAGGAGTACATGTCGAGAGTCTCATATGCTAGTGTAGTAGGTAGCTTGATGTACGCTATGGTATGCACTAGGCCTGATCTTGCACATTTTGTTAGTGTTGTCAGCAGGTTTATGATACAACCTGGGAAGGAGCATTGGCAGGCTGTGAAGAGGATCTTCCGGTACCTTAATGGTACACCTGATGTGGGGATTAGATTCAGAAGTGATACAAAGTGCTTGGTGTCTGGGTATTCTGACTCGGACTATGCTGGAGATGTTGACACGAGAAGATCGATGACTGATTATGTATTCACTCTTGGGAGTTCTGTAGTGAGCAGGAAGGCAACTTTGCAGTCGGCGGTGACATTGTCTACTACTGAGACAGAGTATATGGCGTTGACAGAAGCTGCTAAGGAAGGAATATGGTTGAAGGGACTGGTTGGTGATCTGGGTCTACATCATGATCAGGCAGTGGTGTATTGCGACAGTTTGAGTGCAATATGTTTGGCCAAGGATCAAGTCCACCATGAGAGGACTAAGCACATCGACGTGAGGTATCATTTCTTGACGACAGAGAAGAGGATTAAGGTGAAGAAGGTTGGCACCGAGGATAATCCTGCTGATATGTTCACGAAGCCAGTTCCACATTGCAAGTTCCAACACTGTTTGGACTTGCTGAATGTCTTGAGTGGGTGACTCCGCCCTGCTGGGCATTGATGGCGGGAGAGAGAGAGAGAGAGAGAGAGAGAGAGAAGGAGCAGAGTACATTAGAGATTTCAGAGGAAGAGAATTCAAGTCAAGGTGGAGATTTGTTGATGTGACTTGAATCGGACTATCAGCAGCTACGACTGGTAGTTGGGGGTCTCGCTGTTATGGGCTCAATGTTATTTGGGTTCGGGTTCTGGGCCTGGTCTGTAACCGTTTTCTTTGCCAGATTGGATTAGGTTTAGACCCACATGGAGAAGTACTATAAATACTTCTCATACTCCTCTATAATCTGTAATCTCTTCGATATAGTGAAACTGGCTCTCTCTCGCCCGTGGACGTAGCTAACACGCATCGTGTTAGTGAACCACGTAAATCGTGTGTCTGTGTTTTTTCGATTTTCACTTTCGTATTCTTGCTTTATCGATTCCGGCGATTTCCCGATCCGTAGCAGAGCGTTTATACAACTTTAAAGTTGGAAGTATTGTATTTTGAGAGTCGATACGCAAAGCCATTCACTTTTTAATACGTATGAGAGGTGATCGAGAACTAGCCAATTTTGAGCTAATATATAGTCACTTACCACCCAATAACGGCGATGAAGAAAGTACGTGTCACAGAGGTGCATACTCCGCTATCTGCACACACGTTGCTCGACTTGACTATTCTTCGATGGCGAGCTTCAAATCCAACTTCACGATCCGAAAGCACAGGAGCTTCCAACCGTCACTAGTAATTAACTTATACCGATATACATACGGGCTAATTATTACACACATATAGTATACATGTACATATATGTTTGCGTACATATACCGATTATTTCGTTTATATATATATATTGGTAGTCGTATAACTGTATATGTGTGCGTATTTAGTAAGGGTGATGGTACGGGCAATTATGTGGATGACCATACACATAATTATAATAGCAATTATAATTAGCACCGTCTCTCCAACCAATCGCCGGCACATTATTTCTCGTCGCTAAAGCTCCACTTCCGTCGGGAGAAGGTTCGGGCTTCTTATCGGGTTTAACATCGGCGACGCTCAAGACGTCGGCAAATCCCACCCTTTTCCTCAACAAGCACGCCAACTCCACGGCGTCGATCCCTTCGCCGGTGACTGCTATCTCGTTCTTCTCTTCCATTATAGTCATTGATTGAACCCCTGTGTGTGTGTATATATATATGCACGCAATATTAATTAGTATGATCAAATATGTACGTACGCAAGCATGAGATTAGGGCTACCTAGCTAGCTATATATAGCTAATTACCGGCAACAGAAACTGCGATGGTCATGACTTTGGTCCGGCACTTGGGGTTGTTGTTCATGTTGGGAACCCTCAGCACCACCTTTCTCTGTAGAACAAAGTAGTAGTGTATGTACTTGTTATAGCTAGCTACATGCATATACAAAGGGAGACAAATACAACGAGCGAGGGATTGGTCTAGTGGTATCATCCTTGATTTTCAACCTGAAAAATCGTAGATTCGAAGACATCCCCTCACGTATAGAACCTTTTTTCGTTGCACAGATTTCAAAAAGGAGAGAAGAAAAGGGAGATAGATAAACAGAGATTAGCAAGACAAATAGAGTACAATTAGTTGAACGCGTACCTTCATGATGAATTGATGTTTTGATAAGGGTGTTGTGGGACGAAAGGCTCCGGTATTTTCTCCTGCAGAGCTGAGAGTTAGCTTCTTTCGATTTTGTATGTTAGCTTTTTGATGAAGGATGTAAAGGGGATTAGGGTTGTCGATTGTTTTCGCTAATTTCTCTCTTTTGTCATTTCTGTTGGGGGGAAATGTATGTGTGATTAGAGTAGAACCTGTGTTACAACTTATAAAGCAAGGTATATGGGTATTTATATAGGGTAATCAGAGGCAATGTGGGGGCGATGGAGTTAGGTTTAATTGGAAATATTTTAGGAGATAAAGATAAATGTATTGTAAGTTGCCTTGGGTGCTTCGAGGAATATAACCCTCAACCTACTTTCTTCCAAATTATAGTATGATATAATTTACTCCAAATGGCCGGCCATAGGCGATTCTGTTTGATACTTTCGAACTATCTCTTTCTCAAAAAGTCAATTGTTTTTATTTTATGAATGAAACTCCTTTTTTCCACAATTTGAATTGCAGTAAATAATAATAGGGTGGCTATACGGTTCGATCTGGTTAAAATTGGACCAAATTGATCCGGTCCCAGTCCGGTCTTTTCGGGAATATAAGGACCAAAGATTGGATTGGATACAGTCCGGTCTTGATCTGGTCCGGTCCCAATTTTATCTTGATTTTAGGTGTTGGGGGTCTCTTATCCGGTCTTTATCCGGGTTTTTTTACCTCAGATCTAAGTCTGAATATAAGATTGCATTGTTTGCTATCCGGTCCCAGTCCGGTCCCAATTCGGGTTATACGGTCCGGTTTCGGGTAAAAGCAAACAGTCCGGGACCAAATAGCCAGCCCTAAATAACAAGAAGAAACAGGGAAAGAGCCATGCACCCATCTTCCCCAAGTTATAATTTCTAACAAGGAACAATTCTGGTAATTATAGCCTAATAGCCAAAGTCAACTTCAAGTTAACGAGACGCGCTGAAACCTAGAGAATAGGTCTTCCAAGTTCTAACTATACTTGGCTTCCACGTAGCTTGCTGCACAACAGGTACTAACTAAATCGACACACTAGGCAGCAGCTGATTAATAACCTAGCTCGAACCCGAGCATCATTTGTGATTTGTGAACTATACAATGTTGTTCATAAAAGATATTACAACTAATAATCATGTTATACAGAAGAAGAAAAAAACTAGTTATCATTTGTTTTTCTGACTAATATATCCAATATTATTTCTGCTGCAAAATGATGAGAGGTTATTCCTCCCGGAACAAAAGGATCAAAACATTCCACCTAATAGTTCATTAATAAACGATAAATTGGAGTTACCTAAAAGGTCTAATCTTTAATTGTATTTGTCCTTGTTACAAATCAATACAAAAACTAAACAAAGAAACACAAGGATACTTAAACTACTCATTTGATTCCAACAGTCTCCGCTCCTCCTCAAGCTAGAATATGGGTAATCAAATGACCAACTTGCCAGTCAAACCAACTAAACACAATTTGTGGGGAAAGATTTAGTAATTAAACAAATCAGTAATCTAGTTAAGTTGTAGCATATTGCAAAAGTTTAATGGCCCCAGCAGCGATGTTGTCTTGAGTAAGATGTCTATCAAACTCGATGTGTTTAGTATTCTCATTAGTAACGGGATTATCCGCTATTCTGATAGCTTATTGACTATTAGAATACCTAGGTAGTGGTAGGATATGTATAAATAAAAAATCTCAATATGCAAACCATCCCAGCAGACACTATCATACAATCCTTTTAAGGAGATGGCAGATTGAGTAGAGAAAAAGAAACAAAGTCACGGACTACCTTAAGGTAATGCAAGAACATATGATCATCAAATAAATGAAGCTTCAAATGCTATATCTTGTCCAGTTTGGCTCGAGTTCGTCACGAGTTTTAATATGCAAACTCGAGCTCGACTCGTTGATAAAAATGAAAGCTCGAGCTCAGCTCGCCAAATAAGTTTAACGAGTCTAAAATCGAGTTCAACACATAAAATGTTCATTATAGCTCAAGATTGAGCTAGAACTGACCACAAACCATACGGTTATTGCCTTGATACCTAAGGTGAAGGAGCCGAGTATGCCGAATGTATTCCGGCCCATCCCCCTACGTAATGTGATTTATAAGCTGGTCTCGAAGGTTTTGGCGAACCGGCTGAAGCTATGATTGAACAAGGTAATCTCTCCGGCTCAATCAGCTATCGTTCTGGGTCGATACATTACGGATAACATTATGGCAACTTTTGAGTGCTTTCATACGATGAATAAGAAGACTACAGGAAAAACTGGTTTCCTAGCTACCAAGATAGATATGGCGAAAGTCTTATGATAGGGTGGAGTGACCCCTTTTTGGAGGGAATCATGCGCCAAATGGGTTTTGCTGAGAACTGGATAAGAATTATTATGCTTTGTGTGACGACAGTCTCGTATTCGGTCCTTGTTAATGGGCACAGGTCTGAGACCTTTTTCTGGGAAGAGGAATCCGACAGGAGGATCCATTATCCTCATACCTTTTTTAAATGTGTGCGGAAGGGTTATCAGCATATACCATTCAAGCGATCCAATAGGGACGACTTCGTGGGTTGCGACCTGCCCAGGGAGGCCTGATTATGTCACATCTTTTCTTCGCGGATGACAACATATTTTTCTCTAGATCCACCATTCTTGCGAGAGTGGCACTGAAGGGTATCCTATAGGACTATGAGAAAGAATCGGGACAATAGGTTAGTTTCCAGAATTCGGATGTGTCTTTTAGTAAGAGTGTTTCACACCATCGAAAGTTGGAGATTGGAGGCATTCTGGGTATGAAAATTGTCGAGAAGCACCATAAATATCTCGGGTTGGCGACAATGGCAGGGCGGTCGAAGAAAGAGTTGTTTGGAGAGATAGTAGAAAGAATTAGAAAGAAGTTGAAGGGATGGGAAGAGAAGACCACAAGAGAGGTGCTAATCATGTCGGTCGCGGAGGGGGTCATAAACGAGGTTCAGAGTTTGATAACGCGGTTCTGGTGGATGCAGAGTGGGGATGAAAGCAAGGCTCATTAGATCAATCGAGACAAGCTAGTCATACCGAAAACATGTTTCCATTTTGGATGCAGAGTTGGGGTATCGGCCAAGCTACATATGGCGCAGCTTACTTAGTGCGCAGGAGTTCCTCAGGGTCGGTCTGAGATGGCGCATCAGGAATGGAAGCCAGGTTCATGTGTGGGGAGACAAGTGGTTACCATCGACACTGGGGCATTATGTGATGTCGGTACCAATGGAATTTCCTGTGGATGCAATGGTAAGTGATTTATTAGCGGAGGACAAGGCCGAGTGGGATATGAATATTCTGGAGAGTTATTTCCCCGAAGAGATGGTTCAAGCGATCAGGGCGATTCACATTTGGGCTGGGGAGAAGGACGAGTTTGTTTGGCAGGACTCTAACATTGGGGAATTCTCAGTGAATGAGGGATATATATAGGATATGGTTGGAACAATTTATGGCAAGAAAAGGCGACCAGGGAGAGAGTAAGGGCGGGTTTTGGAGGCAGCTGTGGAGTATGAAAGTCCCGCCTAAGGTACGACATTTCATGTGGAAATTTGCCCAAGATATATTACCTACAACCACAGGGGACATGGTAAGCAAGAAGAGTGAGTGATGGAGTGATAAGTGCCCGTTCTGTGATACCTGGGAAACACAGCTACACGCTTTTGTGGAGTGTGCATGGGGCTCGAGGATTTGGTGTCAGTCGCACTGTGCGGATCTGTATGAGCTTCATGACGTGGGATCGATGGTGGAATGGCTAAAGAAGGCAAGGGAGAGGGTGGGGGAGGCTAGATTTGAAGAATGGAGTGTGTTGTTGTGGCTTTTGTGGAAAGAGCAAAATGCTCAATTGTTCAATGGACCGAAGACAGCAAAAGAGGAGAGAGTGACGAGGGCAAAATATTTCTTGGAGGATTATCGCCAACATCAGGAAAGGGGTACGCCGAACCTGCTGGTTCCTTGCGTGAAAAAATGGCGGAAGCCGCCGATTGAGAGAGTGATGGTGAATGCAGATGCTAGAGTATTACAAGAGGGAGGGATAGGATTTGGAGTGGTGATGAGGGACGACAATGGTACTTTATGATGGCAGCGACGAAGAGGATCCAGGGACAGTTCCCGCCGGACATGGCTGAAGCAATGGCTGTGGAGATGGGAGTTCAGCTGGTACAACAATTTCATGTCCAAAAACCAATAATGGCGGCGGATTGTTTGCTGATGCAACTATTGACGGAGAAATCTTCATAGATCGAAAATAGGGGTGGTTTGCCGAAGCATAAAGAGGATGGTCGCGGAGCAACAAGGGAGCTTTTCCCATGTATGCAGGGAAGCTAATGAAGCGGCTCATATCATGGAATATGCTCGTACTAGATGGGATGAGCGAATGGTTTGGCTCGATCGGCCGCCAATATTTTTAGTTGATCAGATAAAACTGGATGATGTAGCAGCCAACTCTGATTAATGAAGTGATTACAGGTTTCTATAAAAAAACACAATATTTGTCCCAATTTCAATACAAATCTATGAATTCCAATCCTTTCTAATGCCAAACCGTTAAATGAGCTTGTTCGCGAGTTTTCAGGCTGAACATGGTATGGCTCGAGTTCAGCTCGTTTAGTTAACGAGTTTTTTTGCGAGCTTGCTCGATTAAGACGAATCGAGTATCGAATGAGTTTTTCTTGAGTCGGACGCTGAGCCGTTCATAAGAGGTTTGGTTCATTAACAACCCTACAACTGATTAATCGAAAGCTTTCCGAATCGCTCGAACGGTTTTGACCAATCCGATCTTCCCTAGGGAACTGGGATCTAACTCCTCCAACGAAGAGACTGAGAGACTATAGGAAATAAATCCACATTTTAAAATACTTGGTACTAATTTACTTTTTGTTACCCACTCAGTGACTTGAGTTCCAGTGCATAAATCATATAGTATTCTATAACTATTTTTATCAAATGTTATACGATTCTTTTACTTGTTAACACTTCAATCCGATTACCCAAATTCTCAATTAGTTTCTTTTTGACTCACGCTAATAAGTGTCCAAACATAGCCAAACCCGATTAACCCGCTCGATCAACCCGATCCTCAACTCGAATTGACTAAAAGTCAACAACCTGTAACCCTCCCGATCCGCAACCCAACTAACCCGCAACTCGATTAACCCGAATCCGATTGACCCCGCAACCCGATTAACCCGAACCGGATTGACACGAACCCGACTAACCCGTAACGCGACTCAACCCAAACTTCATCTAATCCACTTGAATAATTATTATAATATACAATACATAGCTTTTCAAAATAAAGATTTTCATTCTAAACTTAAGTAAAATTATTTTTCCATTTCGTATAAGGAATTTAAAAAATATGAAACTCACTTGATATTATGTATTTTAAGAAAATTACAAAAATTAAAACATGAAGGTCACTTGAACACTAAGTTCTTTAACAAAATTAAAAAAGTAAATATAAAATATAAAATCAACATAATGTCAATATTAATAATGAAGAATTAATAATTGAGATCATGGACAATATTAATATAATATATAAATTAAAATTTTGGTTAATTTAACTATTCAATAAAATTATCAATTAAATATAAAGTAAAGTAAAGTAAAGTAATGTATTTGGTAATTTGATGTTTTTAAAAGAAAAAGGAAATTTTGGTGTATTCAACTTTTTGGGAAGTGAAAGAAGAGGGAAATTTGAATTTTTTAGAAAAGAAACAAGTAGGAATTTTAGTGGTTTTGATTTGTGGGAAGAGAAATAAGTGGGAAAGTTTGGTTCTTTTGATTATGAAAGAGAAATAACCAGGAAAATTTTGAGTTTTCAACATTTTGTAGAAGAAAGGAAGGAAAAGGGAAATTTGGCTCTTTCAATTTTATGGAAGAAAAAGAGGAGGAAAAATTGAGTGTTTCTAATTTATGGAAGGAGAAAGAAGGAAACAAATTTGGTGTTTTCAAAATTTTAGCCTTTGAAATATGAATTTTTAACTTTTATATGGAGGGCATGACTAGTTAAATTTATTCTTATATGCTTTGAAATCTAATATATATATATATATATATATATATGTAATTGTTTATGGGATAATAAATAAATTCACCATTAGTTACAACAATTATACTAAACTTGATAAGTAATCTTTGACGGTTCGTTGTTTAGGATATAAAGTATATGGTTAGGGTATAAGGTATAAGGTACAGATGGTTTAGGGCGTATATGGGTAGGGTATAAGATATTGATGGTCTTGACGGTTATAAGTTACGTTTTTTATTAACATATGTTCACTTGAAGTCATTTGAAGTCTTTAACGGCAGGAGATCCCTTTTTAATTTATGTTTATGGTACGTGGTTAGGGTACAAGGTATGTGGTGTAGAGTATATGATATAAGGTTAGTGTATAGCAATTAGCAAATATCACTTTTTATCTATGTTTTGAAAATCAAAGTATGAATTTCACTTTTAAATTAACTATACTAGCAAAATCACAACTCAATGACATATGGTTAGGGTATAGGGTATGTGGTTAGTGTATAATGTATTGATGGTTTAGGGTATACAATCAACAACATATACTAACTTAATATTGTTGATTGAGGGTAAGGCTAAATGTATAGGATATATGTTATTGAGTAAGTTATGATTGAAGTCACAATAATTTTACTAAATTTGTTAGTTAATCTTTAATGGTTCAATTTTTAGGATAATTCGAACAATTTTAAAGATAACTCGTTTGGCAACAGTTTACTGTAGTTATTTGGGCAATGAGTTATTTCGAAATAACTTCTTTTATCACTTCGCTTTTGCCAAATACCACATGTCAAATACCAGATTTGCATGGTTATACTAAACGAGATACTTTAATCCAATTACTACTGAATTAATACTAAAATATCAAATAAACAATTAATGGTGTCTTTTGGTTGCAAATATTGATATCACCATTACTATTAGCTAGTGTACTTTACCAATTATGATGTTAATAAGTTCCCGAGCTTTAGATACTCTTGTATAAAAATTGAAAGATTTTGCCCACTCAATTAATTACATAACAAGTTTGCAAGTCATACAAATTGATTTAACATTTTGACTAGTTTTTTTCAAAAAAAATTAAGTATATGTATACGAGGTATAAATAAATTGGTTAAAAGTTGAGAAAAATATTTTAAATTAGTGTAATAAAATGTGTAAGTTGGTAACGAGTAATGAGTAAGTTACTCGATGCGCTAGCCCAAACAACCCGAAACCCGATCTGCCCGCGACCCGCCCGACCCAAAACCCGATGAACCTGCAACCCGATTGAACCCGAACCCGATGAACCCGCAACCCGTTTGAACCCGAACCCGATTGAACCCAGCCCGAACCCGCCCGATTGACACCGGCCAGTCAGTGTCCTGGTAGACATGCTTCTGATCACTGCTCTCGCTCTAATGGAAAAGCCCCGACATCGACATGGCTGGAAGCGGTTGCTGGAAGATCTGATCGGCAGAGAAGGGTCGCTCTTAATCTTAGGGGTCGTTTGGAAGTTGCGAATGTTAAATCATTGCATTGTAATGAATCACAACAAAATAAATACATGTATTGTTATAATGGATGCATTTCAATAATACATTGTTTGGTTGTTGAGATTTTACTTTATGTATTGACTTGCATAAAGTTACTTTATGGGAAAATGTCACATTTATCCTCAATTTTTAGTATAAGACAAAAACTAATAGGGATATAAATGGAAAGAAAAAATGTACACAAATCTAAAATCAACCATCACAACAATCTCAACTTTTAGTTTTTATTTTTTTGTAAATGGATGCATCCCATCTCAGCTTTCATTCACAACGAAACGAGGCACAGAGAGGCCTTGACAGTCATACAAGAGGAGGCTACAAAGGGTAGAGTCTGAAACATCAATCCTATGAAAACCCAAAGGTAACGAATGGCCCCTACTAGCAAGGGCGTCAGCACACTAGTTTCCCTCTCGATAAATGAGGGAAATAGACAACTTCCCAATTACGGGCAAGCAGCTCCTGGAACCGGTCAATCAAAGCAGCATGGTGGTGATCGGGTCGCTTTCTGCTCTGCCTGCTCTGCAGGAGTTGGACTGCACACCTGGAGTCGAGCTCAACACGAACTCTCCTATAACACTCGTCACAGGACAACTGAAGACCTTCAACATCGCCTCTCAATTCTGCTCGGGTAACAGAACAAACCCAAATTCAAAGCAAAAGCTCCCAAGCAGCTTCCTTAGTGATCTCTAATCGGGCCACCAGCTGCAGCATGGCCTGATTCATGAAAAACGGAGCCGTCTAAATTGAGAGTGACCCACTCTGGAGGTGGCTTCCACGAGATATCCACCTCCTTCTAGCAGGCAGATTATGCGTATGAACGAGCCTATCTTTGTCCATGGCACTCCACACGACATTTATCCATGCGTGGACGTGTTGTAGGAACACTTCAGTTGTAACGACTTTGTTCTGGAAAAAAAGTACTCTATCGTTCCTAGTCCTCCAAAGGGATTAGCAGATGATGCCAAACTCAGGGTTGGTGTGCTCTTTGTTGATTTTACGGCATAGCCAATCTTGGACATTGCTGTCAAAAAAGTCTCGATGGTGTCCTCCCCAGAATCCGCCTCTCCTTTGGCAATCTCGTACGCTGACGGACCTGGAATCTGCCATCTATCTCCGAACCCCATGTCATGATGTCCTCCCCTGATCCGGCTAACGGGGGCTGAATGCCCAAGACATGCAAAACAATGTCCTCGGGAAGGAAAGAGCGGAGTTTATTGATATTCCACTCACCGGTGCTAGTACCAAAGTCGGCCACCGAAGCCGCAAGGTCCATCTCAACTTTTAGTTGAGATTGTATAATGCATGATTTTTTGTGATTGTTAGTAGGACCTACCTAAAACAATACATGCATTGTTGTACAATGTACACTTTTGCACTTCCAAACATTGTATTGTGCATAATGCATGTATTCAATAAACGCAACTCTAACAATCACAACTACCAAACGACCCCTTAGAGACTGTTGTGTGTGTTCGATTTGCGGGTCTCGCGATTCTTTTGTGGCCTTTAGCTGTCGTGGCGTCAGTTGTAGGAAGCTGTAGTTTCCAGCTTCTTCTTGGGATTGTACAGCGGAGTTGTTGTCTATTAGGTTTGAATCAGACCGCATTTTCGGATATATTGGTCCCTTTGTGTTCGAGTGTTTAACCGCTCTGGAACTTCTGATAGGGTCAAACTCCAACGGGAAAAGACTCCTCCTGGAAGGGTTGATAGAAACCAAGAAATTAAAGAATGCCTTGTGAAGGGCAATTGCAAGAAGTTAGGGATCAAACTGCCAGCTTGGACTAGGGGTGTAAGTTTGACCCTTAAAACCCACTGACCCGCTCCGACCCGCCCCGACGGAGGGTCGGGCTGGGTCAGTTTGTTTATAAGGTCAATTTAGGGTCGGGTCAGGGTCAGATAGGGTCGGGTCAATTTAGGGTCAGGTCACTTTTTGACCCTATGACCCTTAGCATCATACAAACATGTTGGACCTATTTGTAAAATTTTATAAGTTTAGGTACTAAATTGTAAAAATTAAAAAATTTGGGTACCAAAATGTAATTTTACCATCAAATTTTAGGGACTTATTTGTAAAAAAATAAAAATTGAGTACTAAAATGTAAGAAAAATAAATTCGGATACCAAATTGTAATTTTTAGAAAAGTAGTCTATTTATTAGGGTCGACCCACTGACCTCGACCCTTCCTGACCCACCCCGACCCTAAAGGGTCAGACAGGGTCATGAAAGAAACAGGGTCGGGGCGGGTCAGTTATACATCTTGACCCTTCAGGGACGGATCAGACAGGGTCAGGGGCGGGTCGGGCCAATTTTCAGCCCTAGCTTGGACCATGTTACAGTGCCTTCTAACCTCGGCAAAACAAGATTCACCAGGATTGGTAATCAGGATGTGGTTTGTTATAAGCTACCCCTGTCGGTTTAACATGAATGTGTTAATTAGCTAGATATTGTGACGATTATACAAAGTGCCTTGTTGCAGCTGATGTCTTCGAGTTGGCGACTGCAAACAGGTCTAGGGACAAAGTTTTCGACTGGTTCATACCACCATTGTTGATCATGAAAGTGCAACTTGGAAAGCTTCAGCTAAACGAGAACGAGGAGATGAGCTTGAGCTGGAAATGGCGAATTAAGAATCAAAGAGCTGAAGATTGGGATGAAGAAGGATTTCCTGAGTGGTGACCATGTTAGAACAGCGCAGCTACAAGCCCTAATCAGAAGGTCTGTGTTTTGCCTCATGAAAGAGGAGGGCTAGGAAAGTTCATACTAGTCCAAATCGAGCCGCTAGGAAAGACGTCATGTGCCTTTCACACTGTTTTGTAGTGGTTTGGCTGCCTGATTAGATTACCTAGAAGTGAATTTTCTGTCTGTTTCATCCTATAGCTAGTTGTTTTCAGGGAAGAAAGCGATGTATAGAAAGAGAAAAGTAGCACAACAAACTCATATCACGTTGCTCATAGAACGGTCGGCTTCCTTACAATATCAGCATTCTGTTAAATGTTAACAACACAAAAACCTTGTACAGAGAAAGGCAAAAGCAAATGGAGCATTACCTTCCAAAACATCTCAATACAGATGAAGTAAGGGTTGAAGAAATGAACTTCATTCCTGTAGATCCTCCGGGGAAGTACGAAATGACATAGTATGATAGCGCAATAACCTGGCATGAGTGGAGGGAAGGAACAGAGTGTGAGAGCTGTATCCATCCGATATCCACGGAGGGAGCTGCACAATTAACGGCAGAAATCAAAGTAGAATAGGATTGGGTCAAAGGGTACCTGTAGAACCGAGAAGACAACTGAAAGAATGTAACTGTGAAGCACCATGGATACATAGACTGTTCCAACCATGGTTCCCATGAATCCCAAAGTCAAGGGAAGCCTCTGTAGATAAGATAATGAAGCAAAATGTCAGTAAAATTCGTCATTTAGAGTTATTTGATTTCTACATAGGATGATATAACTAGTGAAAAGTACCTCCTTAGAGAACATATGTAGAAGCTGCTCCTTGGGGCCTCTGAGAGCGAAAAACGAAGCAACTATGAAAGAACAGCCAATGGTGAAGCATATTGCGAATTTTTGGGGAACCAACACCATCACGGGGAGGAACATTGTGAATGCTAGAAAGACGAAGAACACTCCAGAGGCAAGAAGTACGCCGAAGTACATGAAAGACTTCCCAGAGGGGACATTGCTAGTAGATGACTTGAAACTTCCCGGCAGACCCCTTACTCCCTTTGATACCCTGAAATGGAAATACAGAAGTTAGGACGAATATCAATTGCTAGATATTACCAGAATGAACCTATGAAAGAACAAAGTAAATGCAAAAATCACGGCTCCCTAATTCCAGCTGAAGATACTATGTTTATAAAGCACCACTATAGCTAACTTGACATCGATCACTTTGTTCGAGATCGCACATGAGATGAAAACAGAAAGTGTTCTTTAATACTAGTAGCCCAGTATACCAGGAATGGCATCACGAAAGGATGACAATGCACAAATCCTAGTTCTGAACCAGAACCAACACAACATGGAATTCCTATTATCGGAAATGAGCAATGAAGCGCGAATTCTGAAAAAAAGTGCGACTAACATGTAGTGGATTGCTTTTTGCTTTGCTCAAGACTGCACATGAGATAGCAAAACCAACTGTTCTACGGCACTGGCAGACTAGTATACCATCAACAGCAATGAAGTTAGTGGTCCAGATTTCATGGCTTCCCCGTCTCGAGCTGAAGGTAGAGGAGCATATAGTTCTTAGCTAGAACTAACACAGCGTAGGAGTACTAGTTCAGAAATCCAGAATGGAAGCAACGTAGAACAGACAAAGTGGAAAACGTCAGCCAATCGAATGATTCGGCAACAGTTCTCCTAAGTGAAAACTTACTCTTAAGCTATCTATCGAGTATTTGATAACAGATAGCGGAATTTCGATAACGAGTCCGAGATTCAAAGACAGAGTGATCAAAGCAGAAAGACGCAATTCGAGATGAAAAACCTAGAGCAAATGAAACGAACAATCGCCAGCGAGAGAAAGAATTCGCCGAGAAATTTTCTTACACGCTGAAAGTGCCGGAGACCTTGTCGCTGGTGGAACGGACGGCGGATTCGATATCGAAGCCGAGATCGGGATCGGCGTCCGCGTCGTTTTGAGCTGCGGCGTAGGCATTCCAGTCGGCGAGCAAGGACGGCTGCTTCTTATCCAGTCCATCGCCGAAGCTGCTGCTGTTGCTCGGACCTCCGCTGAACCACGATTGCGCCGCTTTTTGCATTTCGTACGACTCCTTGATAGCTCGCTCGCTCGTCGCTCGCTCGAGCTCTTCTTATTCTCTTGCAGTCGGCGCAGAGACGGCTCCGATCGGCGACCTCCGGAGGGGGAAATTCGAGATCTAACGGCGGCACCTTCCACGGTTCCACCGTAAGAAGCTAGAGACCAAACTAATCACAAAGCCCAAAAGCTCTGCGCTGCTAAACTACACTAAACGCATCACTAAGCCCAAGCTCAAGCCAAAGCCCGTACAGAAGGAAAAGGCCCAGAATATCATCTCCCTTCCCCTCCAGTGTTCGTGGCTTCTCTGTCATCTCTCCAGCGACCGCGATCACATTTTCCTGGCTAGCGAGGAGGAGAAGAAGAAGAAGAACGATGAAAGTGGCATCGCAAATAGTTCTCCTGTTCAAGGACAAAGATGGGTTCGCCGCAGCAATCTCAGAAGGTCTGAATCCCAACCCTAGCTCGGGATTCAGAAGACTGTAAGTCCAATTTCTTCATATCGCTCGATTTCTGCTTTTCGCCGTCGCCGCGGTTACGGTAAATGGGCTGCTTCTCCGTTTTGTTTTTGGCAGAGAAGAGTCGCTCGAGCTTCCGCTGGATGGTTATGGAGTGAAGGGTCAGAAAGCTTGTGGCGATTTTGTTCATTTCGTCGACAATCAGGGCAATTATGAGGTACCCGTCCTGTCTGAATTAGGGGTTTCGATTTGTTGTGTCCTAATTTCTGAGAAATGTGCCAATGTTGAGGGAATTAGGGTTCAGAGAACAGTGAAACTCTTCGATTTGGGAGCTAGTAGGCACGGAATGGACAAAAAAGGTTTCCCTGGTTGTCTCCATTGATGAATCTCCAGTGACTTTACATTTGAGGAATTAGTGAAGTATTGAACTTAGGAACTTAGAACGCCATAGATTCTGCTCAAATTTCTATTGAGCACATATGTTTTGCGTATATTTTGAACTGTAGGAAGACAAGAAGCTGATTGATTCACTTCCAGTATAAATAGAAAGTAAACCTAATTGCTCTGGATTAGTGTCTGTAAAGAATGAGTGGTTCAATAATGTGGGGATCATTTGAGACACTATTTACTCGAACTGAATCACCTTGACTCGCCAACACAATAATACTGTTCTGTTGGTCAAGCTTTTGGTTTCTAAATTTTCAGAATTTCCATAATATGTGAAGGTATCCTTGTTACTTCTGGAGAAGTATGAGCCGCCAATCTTGGCCTGCGCCCTGAACGAAGTTCTAGCAAACATAACCAAGGGAGCATCTGCATCTCTACCCACATTTATTGTTCCATTCACTGGAGCATCGAAGCTAAAGTGGGAGCTGAAAGCCCTTCCTCCAAACAAAGGTCAGGTTAAGCTCTACAGCATTCAAATTGGTCCCGGAACCGGTTCATCAAAGAAGATCACCAGCAGAACAGAAATGGCGCCAGCGTCTTTCCACATCCAGTACGAGCCTTTGGCCTGCTTCATTCACCTGGCTCGCGTGTTGAAACTTCCCACTTCTGTTGTCTTTGGCCACCAAGCTTCTGAGGATGAACTTCAGGTATTTGGCTTACATCGAACCAGCAAGAACCATATCTCTAATATCGCTACTAATATACCAACTTTACTTGGCAGGCACTCTACCAGATTGGGGATCTATTGGCAAACAGCACAGGGTTGTGTTTCTTGAAGGAGAAGATTTCTTGGAATCCAATGGAGATGTCGAAAGATAGCAAGGAGCCTTGGCGTGCACTCTATGGTTGAATCTGAACCATATGTTTTTGCACATTGGCTTTCATGGTAGTTAATCTAGATGATATATACAAAGACGAGAACGCTAAAGAACTGCAGTGAGGATTCTTCATAATGAGTGACATGTATGCATCAATCTATCTGAACGTCTTATGGCTCGAGGTGTTAATGTTGGGATTTGCAATTTTGATCTCTGGGATCTGCAAGAGGAAGTTAGAATATGCTCTTCATCTCTGATTGCGTGATGTCACATTGAAATGCATCATTTTAATCCTCACCGGACCAGATTCCAATTTCCAGCTTCTGTCCCCGTTTTCGTTCTAACTTGTGGCGGTCACTAATCACTATACTACCTTCTTTCGTTTGCATTCTTTTGGTTAATTGAGTCGATGGGTGGATTATAGTTGTTTTCCTCCATTCTTTTTATTTTTGGTTATTAACCTCATGAGGAACAGATTGAGATTACGATTCAAGCATCGCAACTTCTCCTACCAAGGGTTAGAGTTGTCCTTATTGATCAGGTTGGGGCACAAAATAATCTCCAAAACAAACCTCCACTAAATCACTTAACACAACGATTATGAGTTTATGACTCAATCAGGGACAACAAGGGACTTGAACTCACTGCACAAGAGCCCTTATCCGATCTACCGCTGCAACATCATAGTGCCAATAAGAACGGTGGATGCGGTGTATCCTAACCTAACCAAGAGGTACGGTCTGTTTGAAAACCTACTTAGAAACCTCAACCCAATTGAGTACTCCAACTGGTCGACACTTCTCATCCCCCTTCCCTTTCAAAATTCAAACACAACAAACAGTTACTTCAAACCCAAGGCAGTGCATATCTGCGCCCTTGCAATTACGCATATTTCCATTCCAAGATTATTCACATCTGAGCCAAGAATACCAATCAAGACAACAGAAAAACTTCAAACACAAACTTTGATCATCTAGTCCATGTTCACCTTACCGATCACATTCTCCCTTAGCTTCTCAACAGCTTTCACGAAAGCCCCCAGCTCTTCCACCCTCTCCTCCTCCCACCAGAACCCCCCTCCATTCTGCCCTCGCTTCACCTGCTCCTCCATTGGCTTGGCAGTATGCATCTTCTCGACCTGAAATCTCTTCCATGTAAGAACTTGTGGAACTTTGATAGCAACTAAGAGGGTACAAGTTTTTATGCTTGTTTGCTCTCCCAATACTGTTATTTCCCCTGTTGGCACAGTTATTGCGTATTGGCTTTCTTGCTCTCATGTAGTCTCAATGAGTCATTCACCAGAAAGATTTAAAAAGTTCTAGTGGTCACCTAGCTCAACTAAAGTCATGCAAAATTACTTTTACTCACTAAAACCACAATATCTTATAGTGACTGCACTGAAAACTGTTCAGCCTCTAATGAAACCTCTTCTACTGCCATATGAACATTCTGAAGTAATAAATTTGATTTTTTAACTATACTGACCTGAAACCTGATCAGCAACTCCTCATACTCTTCTCTCGGTTGCTGATGAGTATGGAAAACGGAGGAACCTGACACAGGACAATCCTGAAGCTCCCAACTTTCTTCTCCCATGTAGGGTCTAACGACAGAGTCGGTGTCAGGGTAGCCAAAGGAGAAAACCTTCCCGCCAGGGGAGAAGGCGATGACTGCCACATGAGCTCCACTGAGGCTGACCTCATTGGCTTTCATGACCAGACCATTCCTGCGCTTAGAGAACGTGACCTGACGGTGGCTCTTGTTCTCTATTTTCCTTATGGCTATCTTCTGCCGCCCCTTTGTTGCTTTTTGCTTATTCTCCTCCTCCGCCATGGTTTGCTAACAGAGGGAACACATTTATGAAAATAGTTAAGAAGTTTTTTTTACACAAAAATAGTTAGGAAGGGAATATATTCTGTACAAATATTGTAGCCGAAAAGTCAGGACAAATTTTCGAATTTTTCTACTTTTTTTCCCCTTTGTGAATTAATTATGGGTTTAATTAATACTTTTTTCCTATATTGTATACGAACTTTTCGTTACTTCGAATTCGAAGAGCGTTACTTGTCAGGAAAAAAGAACCAATGCATTTGATTGGACATGCAGAAATTTGGCCTAGCAAATAGCCGTCTTTGTGTAGCTATCCTAAGAAATTCAAAAAATTAGATCAAAAGCAGAGGATTACATTTTACCTCTTACAGTCTCTGTCAGGATATCCAGGAGCTTACGAGTCTCTTTCCATGCATCTTCAGTTGTTCATAATCAAGTAACCACATCCATGCTCAAGAATGGCTGATGAAGATGGTCTCAGCTGTTGCCACCTTGATAATGAACCATGTTTTCAATATCCGTTTGATTGAACCAGTAAGAGATGTAACTTTCTTCAATAAAACAAGAGTCTCGCCATTCAGTAAAAGTTTGGTGTAATGGCATTAGAGCAAGGAAACTAGAAATCCTTGAACCCATCTTGCTTTATGTGATTAGACATAGCATACAAAAGCTCTGAAATCACTCTACTTTCAGCTATGGAACAATCACCTGCAACAAACTCATGAACTACACCATTCAATGCAATTGAACTGCATCCAGGAGCTTTCATCAACCCTTTAAGTTTCATCTCCTTCCTTAGCTTTCCGACAACTTCCCATCTATTAACAAATGCATTAGCATTTGAAAGCAGCACATAGTTCATATGATTTGAGGGCTCTAATTCTATCAAAACTCTGCCAATTTCATTTATCAGCTCTACTTTCCCATGCATTTTACTGGCACTAAGCAGGGCTCTCCAGATAGCGCCATCGGCTTTCATTGGCATATTACTAATGACCTCCAATGCATCTTGTAAAAATCCTGCGCGACCCAGAAGATCCACCATGCACACGTAGTGCTCGATGTTTGGCCGCAGGCCCTGATCCTTCATCAATCTGTTGAAAATTCGGAATCCATCATGAACTAAACCTGAATGATTGCAAGCAGCCAACACGTTAATATAGGTGATCTCATTTGGCTCTATTCCATCATCCATCATCTTTTCAAAGAGTTTGACAGCTTCCTTCCCAAAGGAATGAGTCCCCAATCCTCCCAACATAGAATTCCAGACCGATACTGTCTTGTCTGTTGTATCTTTGAACACTTTCCTAGCCATGTCAATTCGCCCACATTTGCTATACATATCAATCAAAGCAGTGCACAAATGGGAATCAACCCTTATGCTTTGTTTCTCAATATACATGTGTAACCAACAACCTTGATCCAGAGCTCCTAATCCTGCACAAGCAGAAAGTAGAGTTGTTATGGTGAGGGCATCCATATGGACGCTTGCTGATTGCATCTCTTCCAAAACATCCAAAGCCCTACTGTAGAACCCCATTTGTACATAACCATTGAGCAGGGCGGTCCAAGAGACCAAGTTTCTCTCAGGCATCTCGTCAAACAATCTAGCAGCCTCGGTAAGCAAGCCAGCATTGACATAAGCCACAAGCATGATCGTCCAAGACACAACATCTCTCTCAGGCATTTCATCAAACAGCTCCCTTGCCGTTTCCAACTCTCCAGATTTCACATACCCATCAACCAAGCAATTCCAAGAAACAACATCAGGGTTCTCAATCCCCTCAAACAATCGACGGACCGCTGCTCCGGGCTCCCCAATCTTCACGTAGAAATCCATCAACGAGTTCCACGAATGAACTCCAAACTCAACCGGCCATTTCACCATCTGCGCATGAGCCTGTTTGCCTTCCGAAATCCCATTAAACTTGGCACAAGCAGAGAAAACGAAAGTGAAAGTAAAATCATCAGGAACCACAGACGAATCTCCTTCTACTTCTTCGCAAACCATAGCCGCATAAAGCATAAACGCCCTCCTCGGATCGCCGTGGCTCGAATGCGCCCTCATCAGTGCATTGTACATGAACGAGTTCCGCGGAATCTCCGCGAGATCGAACAGCCTCTGAGCGTAATCGAGACCGCGGGAGTCATGATCATGGAGCGAAGCGAAAGACCAGAGGAGGCGGCCGAAAGCGCGCTTCTCTCTGATTAGACAAGTCTTCACGAGAACGGCGTGAGCTTGCCGGAGCTCCAGGAGATTGACACAGAGCTGAAGCAGTGAAACGGCGGGATCGGGTTTCTTTACCGGAGATATTCTGAGGGAGTTCGGTGGATTCGTTCCGATTGACTTGGAGACGAGGAATGGAGCGCAGGAAATGCTCATTTGTCTAACCAGATAACCTTTCCCGGCCGGCTGGAATGAAGTTCAGAATGAGGATATGGAAGTAGAAGGTCAATTTGACCTTTGATGTTTCTCATTTTTATCATTTTGCTACATGAACTTTAAATTTAAACGGTAGATCAATGGGAGATTTTGCTTCTTATTATAGTGGCTTATAACCTGGCCCGTTGGCCGGAATATTCATATTTAATTATTATTTTCATATTACGTTTAATTTTATCAACTCTTTTAATTTTATTAACAATCCCTCGATCGAGATGATACATAAAGAAAGAATATATAGATCGAACATTTGGAGAAATATAAAAATGTATCATTGATCTCATTTTCATAATGTTAATTAAGTCTTCGGCAGTGGCGGAGGGAGAGGCTAACAGGGTGGGAGGAAAATGGTTAAATTAGGTACGATAATTAATTGATATAAAAATTTGGTCACATTTAATTGATAATAGTAGCTTTGTGTTTGAATCTAATACGGTATACATATTTGTGCAAACTTCAATTTTGTATAAGTTGATTTTCTTATGAGGGAGCATGCTAGTAAATGGTATCATATATATTATTGAATCTCTTCCAACAACTTAATTTGTTGATACTAAATGTTTTTCTTACAAAGAACTTTATTCGAAAGCTAAATAATGAATTATTGATTGGTGTAGGATTTATTATTAAACCTCTATCAACAACTCGATTTATTGATACTAACGGTTCTTGACAAAGAATACCATTTGAAACAGTACGAGTGTACGACTAACTTCAATAATTGTTTGGTACGCAAATGATATTCTTTATATTTTTTTTATGACTAATGCATTTTAATTTACCAAAAAATTTCAAGTTAAAATTATATTAACAAAAACTATTTCATCATGTGTATTTTTTTCTAGATGGACCCACCTTAAACAAAATCCTGGCTACGCCACTGGTCTCCTGTAAAATGCTATTGGTTAATTGATTGTCAAGAAAGATAGAGTATAAAAGCTCACTGAAATTCCCTCACAAACCATAGATAGTTTGGAACTAAATCTTAAACCTCGCAATCCTACATAAAGGTTCAATGCTCTCCTTTTAGGAACAATATGTCACTAACCAAAAAGAAATGGAGAGTTGTTGATTCAAGTCAACTATATGCTAACAACTCAGCTGAGAGAGGACCATCACAACTTGAGAGCAAACGACAAAATTATGGTTATCTCCAATATACTAATAGATCCTATCAAAGCAATAAGGAACAAAATTAGACACTCCGTCTCTATTAGTTCTAGTAGGTTGAATAAAGAATCGACCGACCTACTTCAGTAAATCAATCGATGATTCCTCATTTTAAGATAGAATTAGGTTGCGATAGCTTAAAAAACCATAAACCTAAAGATCCAATAGCGACCACTCTCCATTGTACAATAAAAATTTTATCCACTCTATCTTCAATCTCAAGAGATGTTTCGACCAAAAATTGAAATTTTAATTCTCCTTCTGCACCATGGATTGATATCGGAGTTGTAATCTTTTACTTGCCCAGTTTAAATCCCGAAGAATAAAATCGTAGTGCCAAGAGATCCGAAGATTGATTTTCAAACGTGAAGTGAAAGGGGCGCAAACTATTGCATGATGAAGGGAATTTCAAAGGAAGTTAGAAAGAGATAAGAACAAAGATAAAAAAAATATAAAAATTTAATATAAATTGAAAAATGTAAAGACACAACACGTAGTAATAGAATTAGTTTGGGTTAATTGCATGGTTGGTCACTGAGATTACAAAAAACGTTCACGTTTGGTCACTGGAAATATTTAAATCCAATCTTGGTCGCTCAAATTATTTAAATGGTTCAAGCTTGGTCACTCTCCGTCCATTTCCGTTAACTCTAGCTTAAGTGGCAGTCAACTTTCATAGTTGACCGTTAAATATGTGACGCGGCAATTAAAAAATTATTAAAAATAAAAAAATAATCTTTTACATTTTCCACCTCACTATTACATTAATTAAAAAACAAAAAAATATATTTTGGCTGAAACAGAAAAAAGGGTTTCGTTCTCAGAAGATTAGGAAAGCAGGGGTTTTTTGTTCTCTTTTTTACCTGGTTTTTTAGGGTTTCGTTCTCATGGAGCAGGGAGCTGTATTCGGCTTTGAGGAGGTCGAAATTGGCGCGGAGGGAGTCGAAATCTCTCTCCAGCTGCTTGTTCTTGAACCGAGCTCGGCGATTCTGGAACCAAATGGCGACCTGGCGAGGCTGCAAGCCGAGCTCCTGGGCAAGCTGGACTTTTCTCTCCGTTTCCAGCTTGTTCTCCATCTCGAAGCTCCTTTCCAGGGACTGAACTTGACTCATGGTCAGCAGCCGTTTCTTCCCTCTAGGGCTGGAACCCAGTTCGAAATCCTCATCGCAGAGCTCTTCTTTCACCAGAGAGTGGAAGAGACATCCTCCGTCCATGGCGTCTCCGCACCCAACATTGTCGAAATCCACCATATGTCTTTCCCCTGAGAATATAAAAAGGCATTCCGTAAAGAGAAAATAGAGGATGAAACAGAAAAAAGGGTTTCGGTAGTGAAAAGGGAAAATGTGAAATTACCGTGGAAATCGACGGAAGGAGGAGGTATCCAGAGAGGATCGCAGGAGAGGAGGCCAAAATCGACGAAACCTCCAGGTCCGAGCTGTACTGCTTCCCCTCGAAGTACTTCACGATGTAGTCGGCGCACAACTTCGGCGGTTCGGTCCACACGACGGAGTTGTTGGCTTCCACTGACAGCCTCCAACTGTTGCAGTAGAGCTGGTCATCGCGACGGCGGTTGTGGTAGTGCGCCCTGCAGTCGCCAGGGATTCGGATTAGTGGCTGGGCGGCGACGGCAAGGCCCAGTACGAGTAGGAGGAGAATGAATGTCGCCGGAATCGGCGATTGCTGGATCGACATTGGGATTTTGAAATGGGCGAAACGGCGGGCGTAAGGGATGACACAAATTTTTTCTTCTTCTTTATATCAGTGGACAAACTATATTTTTTTTTGTTTTTAAATTAATCTAATAATGAGGTGGAAAATATAAAAGATTTTTTTATTTTTAATAATTTTTTAATTGTCACGTCACATATTTAACGGTCAACTATGAAAGTTGACTGCCACGTAAACTAGAGTTAACGGAAATGGACGGAGAGTGACCAAACTTGAACCATTTAAATAATTTGAGTGACCAAAATTGGATTTAAATATTTCCAGTGACCAAACGTAAACGTTTTTTGTAATCTCAGTGACCAATCATGCAATTAACCCGAATTAGTTTCTTCCATGTTGGCCAATTTCCAATTTACCTATAGCAAAAAGTAAGGAAAGAATAGTGATTTAGAATTGAGAAAGTATATAAAACTCTACTATGAAGCTCATTTGCAGCCCTAGTAAGTACTAAGTAGATGTGGCAATTTGCATCCAATATAATCTATCCACTAAAAAGTGTAACTAAACAAATCCATTTAATCCAATATAATCTATCCACTAAAAAGTGTAACTAAACAAATCCATTTAATCCAAATTCAGTTGAATTTGTGAATTCATAAATTGAATTAATGAATGTTAAAAAATTATAATTGAAACATATATATTTTATATTTTACAATTTAATATCTAAACTTCAAAATTTTGGGATTTTTCCAAAAATAGCACCTTTAAAAAAATTACAAAACTAGCACCCATCCGAAAAAATTGACAGAAATAGCACCCTTTTTATTGGAACGCACCCCTAAGGTGCGTTTTATAAGTAAACCGCACATGAAGGGAGCGTTTTACTTATAAAATGCACCATAGGGGTGCGTTCCAGCACACGAAACGCACTAGGGCGGTGTGATTTACTGCTGCTGCGGAACGGTCTTCAAGACCGTTGGATGGAGGAGCGATCGGAGGGTTGAACGCGTGCCAGCGGAGCGATCCGCGCCACGGATCGGGGAACGCACGCCCGAGATGCTGACAACCCTGGGGAAGCGCAAACTGCCTCGGGAGGGAGCGGTTTCTCTTTGGGCAAAATTACCCGACCGCCCCTGGAGGGTGCGGTCTGTTGGGTATAAATACCCCCCCCCCCCCCTTCCCCTCTCATTTCTTCACACCACAACCCATTCTTCCTTCTCTCTACAATTTATCTCTCTAAACCCTCCCCCTCCCAAAAGTCTAGGAAATAGTGTTCTGTTGGTTGCGGCTAAGTCCGATCTGCCATCAGAAAACATTTCTTAGGTTTTTCCCTCAAAACCCGCCGAGCCGAATCTCTGTCCGAATTTTGGTTTTTTCCTCAAAATCAGCCGAGCCGAAGCTCTATCCGAATTTTCCGAAAAAATGGCCGATTGGTGGCAAGGAGAGGGAGTTTATGTTGATGAATTTCAAGCGGTACGTACTCATTATTCTGGTTTAATTTTTGTTGTTGTTATAAGCTTTTTAATTAATCTATGTACTAACCTCGTTGTTATTTTCTCGTAGGTTGGGGAGGACGTGGATATATACAACCAACGCTATTATCTCGAGCAAGGACCGTTGGATCCAACCGACTTGTACGACCACCCCAACCATCGGTCAAGGGATGTTTGAAACGCTCACCCGGTACATACAATTCTTTACCATTTGTCCTTCTTTTATTTTGTTAATGTATTTAGTGGAATATAAAATAAGTTTATGTTAAATTTTTAATCGTGTTGGTTGTTTTCAATAATTTAATCGAATACATAGCGCCACTTACTTGGACTCTTTATAAAGAGATGCACGTCTAAGGAAATGGGGTTTTAAGCGATTATCATATCCTCCCATTCCCTGGGAAAATCGGGTATTAAGAGATCCTCGGATCCCCCCTTTTTCTGTCAAAAAGACTGCGTTTCTAAGAAGATGTATACCTCTTCTAAGAGTCTAACGAGTGTTGCTTTGTATTCGATTAAATTATTTAAAACAACCAATACGATTAAATTATTTACTAAACAACCAATACTATTTATTTTGATGTGTACAAAATGAATTTTATTAATTTCAAACATTTGAATATGTATGTTTCTCTTTAAATTATTATTCATTAACAATGTCATTTATTTTGGTTAATTTAGTATGTTTGTTTTACGATAATATGTATGTATCTCTTTAAATTATTATTCATTTAGAATGTTATTATGTTAATTAATTTAGGATGCTTGTTTTATGCTAATATGTATGTATCTCTTTAAATTATTATTAATTTAGAATGTTATTATGTTAATTATATGAAATGTCTTTTATGATAATAAAATTCTGCTTGAAGTTAAATAATTTAATTTAATTAATTTAGTTATAAGGAAAAAAAAACCCTTACTAATATATAATAATTAACGTGTAAATTTTTCCTTGGAGGCACAAACAATAATCCGGTACAGGGGTACGACCAATGTGCTCCCATTCCACCCAGCTATCTTGCCCTTTCTCAAAAGGCACGGTTGGACCCGATTAGGCATTTTAACGGCATCAAAGTTGATCGCCAACTCATCACCGCATTAGTTGAGAGATGAGAAGGAGAGATATGCTCGGGTCTATCTCATTGGCATGATCGAAGGAGTGTTCTTCTCCAAAAAAATCAAGCAATCTCCTTAGTTGTGGATGGCTTAGGATCATCCTCGGTAGTTGGGAGGAGATGGGGAGTATAGTTGGGCATACGCTTGCCTAGCTAATATCTACCACAACTTGTGCAATGCCTCTCTAAAAGCTGTGAGGGAGGTCGGCGGCGCAATGTTCATCGTCCAATTTTGGGCTTGGGAGCATATGCCATGGATTGCACCGGTACAACGTCCCGACAGGGATTGGCCAATCGATCATCGCCTAAGAGAGGAAGCTTATGGTACAAGGTAAACTTCTCATACCCCATCATGTTTTTTCATAACACATTTTCCCTTGTGTTTTAGCTTATTGTAGTTTCATTATTATCTTATTAATAAGGTGGCTCGGACACACAACTTGCGACAACCTTGCCCAACACAAGTTGGACGAGTATCGGAGGAGGTTTGAGCGACTTTGGGAAGGAGAGGTAACTTCTATACTTCGATCCATTTATATCTTTTTTCCATGGACTACATGTATTTTTCCAATTCTTACTATCTTAAGTTACTCATTTCTTTCTTGTAGATCGTCTTCGATCCATACCCGGAGAACATCGTTCATTAGCATCTCCAGCAATTCCCCGAGCATATCGGGCAATGGTGCACGAGGGTCCCTCTAATTTGTTTTGGGACCGTGGAGTGGCACTTGCCGGATTGATGCCTCCGTCAGTTTGGTCGGGAGCAGTGCATTCCGTTGGAGGTCCCCGATAGTCAAAGGCCTTTCATGGTCGAGATGGGCGGCAAGGTACTCGAGATTGGCCCTTGAAGCTGGAGAAATTCATCACCATGTGGGAGAACCGACAAATGCAAGATATTGTCACTCCAGCTCAAGTGGGTCGAATGGGGTATCATGACCCATACTTGGATCGATATCGGCAAACATCGGTCCGTTACATGACTCCGGAGGGTGCGGTCGATGGTGCATTAGTAAGTATATTCTGCGCCTTATAATTAAATGTATTACTTAGTCCCTAAATTTTTTTTCTAGCTTATTTTTTTTGTGATTTAGGCTGATGGGATCGAGCGGATTAAAGACATGACCACCGGGAGATTTGAGTTGGGAAAGGAAGATGTGAGCTTCATCAGGAGGATGGCAAACAGTCTTCTTGGCTGTATCAGAGCTCAGGGTCGGGATCATCGTAGATATCCGCCCATGCCCGCACCCCCGCCACCTTTGGTACAAGTTGATGTCCCCGATCCCTCACCACCATATGAGAGGAAGAAGAGCAAGAGGGTTCGCGAAAGGCCCAACGTGCCCGACGTAACGCCATATCCCGGGTGGAAAGTGCCGCCCCCATTGGTTGTGACCTAAGGTGTCGGCCCGAGTTCCCCCCAAGGTAGCGGCCCGAGTTCCCCCCAAGGTGCCGGCCCGAGTTCCACCCAAACTCCCCGCCAAGGCTCATACTACGATCCCCGCTCGACCTACCATCAAACCCCTCCGAGTCCCACCCCGATCTCATACAACGATCCCCGCCAAGGAGCATACTACGATTCCCGCCCGATCTACCCCCCATCTCCCCTCCAAGGAGGTTACTACGATTCCCGCCCGGTCTACCCCCCATCTCCCCGCCAAGGAGCATACTACGATTCCCGCCCGGTCTACCCCCCATCTCCCCGCCATACATTATCGGGTACTTGGCATGATGGTTCCTCCACGACGGCGCACCACGATTTTGCGCCATTGACTGTCCCTCATCAGCAGTGGCCTCCTACTCCTCACCGTATGAGTGTGGATGTCCCCCGCTCGACCCCGGAAGTGCCGATTCCCCGCCGACACAGCACCGACGAGCGCCAAACTACCTCGGCCCGAGTTCGAAACTTGCCACCGCAACCACCTGTTGTTACTCCCGTCGGTCGTCGTACAAGGAGCAAGAAAACCGTGGGTTTCGGTGAAGCTCGTGGACTTCCTTGAGTTATATTTTGAGTTGAATTTAATTTCTATGTACTTGGAACTATTCATATTCTCTTAGTTTATCGAATTGATTGTTGTTTCAATTTGGTTTTTATTTCAATCAACAAAGAACTATTCATATTATCTTAGTTTATTTAATTGAGTGTTGTTTCAATTTGGCTTTATTTCTATCCCCTTGGAACTATTCCTTTTATCTTGATATAATCCCAATTCTTTCAATCAACAATACAGTGGAGATAAGAGATTGGATTGAAAATAGAGGAGAAAGCAAAATTATGATCTTTGCACAATCGCTAATTGATAGACCGTTAATTACACATGTTTTTACCCCTATTCTTGAGCCGTTTGAGATGTTGATTCTAGTGTTTTAGTTGCTCTTGAAGTTTCATATGCACCACCTTTGGGACCACTTCCAGGCTGGATCTAAACCTAAGATGGCAGCTCTAATGCCGGCGTGCCGATCAGAGATTATTGTCAGGTTCGTCCTCCTAGTGACATGGAGCTGAATTTGCCGGAAAAACCATCCATAGCTATCAGCATTCTCTCCCTCAACGATGGCGAAGGCTAAAGGAAAGACTTGTCTGTTTGCAACCGCCCCACTGGCAATGAGGAGAGTGCCCTTGTACTTGCTGGTAAGGAATGTACCATCCACTTGGATGACAGGGACACAGAAGCCAAAACCATCAATAGATGGCTTGAATGCCCAAAAAAGTCGTCTGAAATGGCGCTTGTTACCTGGCTCTGGGGGTTGTATCTCTTCATCTTGGTATCGAGGGGAGAAAACCGTGCCAGGGTTAGACGCCTCCAATGCCCAAATTAACCTGGGAAGGAATGCATATGATTCTTCCCAATCACCAAAGACGGCGGCCAGAGCTTTCTGCTTTCCATGCCACGCCTTCTTATAGTTAATCATATAACCATAACGACTTGCAATGTCAGCGATTATGACTTTCACCTTCAGGTCCGGATCTTGCTCAATTAGATGCTTGATAGCCGCAGCAACCACCCTGGATTTCAACTGTCGATGGCCCTGGGAAGTTATGGATGACACACATATGTGTGTGTTCAACGCACGGGATATGACCCAGTGGCCGTGTCTCTTGCTGTTGATGGCCCGAATCCTAACATTGCACCCCTCGTAATGATTACGGCATCTGACTATGAGTCTTTTAGTGTTAGAATGAGTTGTGTGCCATTCAAAATGCCGAGTCATTGCATCTGTCTCAATGGCGTGCCGCACCACCTTCTTCGAGCCAAATTGTTGGCCCTTCATAAACCCAGTGAGTGGACCCCATATTGGGACCTCTGGCGGCTCCATGTCGCTGTCGACCATCCAATTGTCGTCTGAAATGTGATTGTAGTAGGGGACTGGTACACGGCCACGAGCCACCTCATCATCATTAGCGGAGTCTGACTCTGGTCCTGAATCATCAGCACCTTCAAGAGGGTCGGAGTTGTCTGCACTGACGTTGTTCTCTCCTTCTTCATTGGAGGGGTCACTGACTGGTGCTGGCAGGGCATCCTCCATCTGATCCAGCTCATGAAAGGCACCTTCATCAGCTCCATAATGGTAGTTGTGAAAACTACCGCTGCCTTAGTGGAAGTTGTACTGAGGTTGGTTGGGGAGGTCCGGTTGAACTTCTTCTTCATATGATGGGAAAGATTGATGATGACCTTCACCTTGCTCTTGGTACTAAAAATATGAATGAGGATCATGGTAACTTTGGTAGGGATGATCGCCATATAATTCACCTCCACCATGGATACCAGATGTTTGACCGTGTCTCTCTTGACCTCCAACGCCTACGACCGGCTCGGTGTAAACGAACATCTCGGCTTTGGAAAGATTGTTGGATCTCATGAATTCGAGCATGGCATCTACCTCATCCTGAGTGGTTATCAGATATTCCTCATGCCACAATGACCCACTTTCTCTGTTTGGATATTGGTACACCATACGATCAACTCTTCTCATGCCATCCATGCAAGTAACGTTAGTGCGCATTTGATGGAGGTCTTCAAGCAGCGGTCTGGTAGCGACCTTTATCTTCTGAAAATTGCCACCTACGTAGGTGACCCCCTTTCGGTCTCTTCCGTGTAACCATTCCACCATAAGCCAAGCGTGAACTTTTGGAATGCCATCTGCGATAAACCGTTCAGTTAATATCATAAAAATCAAAAATAACAATAAAAAGTAATACTAAATAAACTTACGAGTTAACGTTAATGGCAAAACTACTAAATAAATATAGAGCTACAACAGAAAATTGAAAAGAGAGAAGGAGAGGTGTGAAGAGAACGGTTTTCGTCTGCCATGCAAGCCCATGCAGACCCACGTCTGTTACGTCTACATGGTATGTCGGAAATTGATTGACCAAAACCGCATCTCCAAGGTGCGGTTTGTATGGCAAAATCGCACCTTGAGGGTGCGGTTTTGTTTGGGAGAAACAAACCGCACCTTCATGATGCGGTTTTGATAGGTCAGGCCAAAACCGCACCTCGGCCAAGCGGTTTATGTAGGTCAGACCTAAAACCGCTTGGCTAAGATGCGGTTTTGGTCCAGAAATAGGGAACGCACCTTAGAGGTGCGGTTTATGCATAAAACGCACCCTTAGGGTGCGGTTTAAATATAAAACGCACCTCTAAGGTGCGGTCCATTAAAAAGGGTGCTATTAGTGTAAATTTTTTCGGATGGGTGCTATTTTTGTAAATTTTTTTAATAGGTGCTATTTCTGGAAAAATCCCAAAATTTTAATGAAAGAAATTCTTCTAAAAATATTCTTTGGTATCTAACTTTTGGGTATGCCTACTATGACATGCATGTCACCGTGACATGGACTTTTCGATCGACCTATTACTGAAGGCGGTCGACCGAATTGACTAATTTGAGCAACAAGAGAAAGCACTATGGTCGACCTCAACGACCACCTGGTCGATCGCAATGCTTTTAAGTTGTTATTTTTGGTCGACCAGAATAAAACCTCGGTCGGCCATTTTGTTGGCGTCAGAAACAACATGGTCGACCACCTAAGGTATATAGGTCGACCACTTGATAGCAGTCATTAACAAAATGGTCGACCGGATAAGGGAAGAGGTCGACCAGATAGAAGATAAGTGTTCTATCGTGTCCAATCATTTGACGTAAAATGAAGATCAAGTGTTGGTTTCGAGGACGACCTAATCCGGTACGAGGTCGACCGAATACAATAAAGTCAACCTATGCCTTGTGTCTTTTTTGCTTATGTATGTCGATTTGTGTGGTTCTTTTGCTCGTATAAATTATGTTTCAAACCATCATAAATAGTCATAAATAATGATAACAAGGACTCATCAATTCTTAGCATAACTAAACAAGCTAACAAGAAATACAATAAAACAGAAATCATAATCGTTCACACATAAAAATAAAACTAAAAAAACAACAGAATAGCAATCAACAATCATTTTGACCACTTAACAATAAAAACACACAATCTAAAATCTTTGCGCTCCTACTCATCTCCCCTCTCTCCTTCATCCACATTTTCTACATTGGTGGTGCTAGCATGATGGTGGTCGGATGTGGTGGGATGCATGTATCTTCCGCTGAAAGATCGCCACTCATCTCGCATCTCATTCACGGTTACCTGCATTGTGCTCATCTGGGCGGTCATTTGTCCCTTGTAGTCGTACATGCCAGCCATCTGGGTGGACATCTGGCCCATGTACTCGTACATGCCATCCATGTGCTCCCACACACGCTCTAAGGTGATCGGTGGAGTTGAACTCTGTGCCTGCCGCATTGGCTCGTCTCCGGCTCCTTCATCACCATCATCATCCTCATCATCATCATCACCACCATGGGCACCATGAGCATTGTTTATTATGACATACTTACCATTACGCACCTCAAAGCCCATCTTTTTCAGAGATGAAACAGTATAAAACTCCTGCCTTGTGATTCTTAACCCCACCTCTTCACTTAAATTCACATTAAAATGCTCAAATAGCATAGTGAGGATCATCCCATAGGGAAGATTCCTGTTTGAACTCTCTGCAGCATTAAGCATGTGATTAAAGATCAAGTATGACAAGTTCACCTTCTCGTTTAACAGTAGGTTGGTTAGAAGCTCCATGTCGAAGTAGGTGACTGTCTCCCGATGTCCACCCTTTGGCAGAATGTTGTAGGAAAACATGTGGTGAAGAACTCTGGCTTGAACTGTCAGGTGGTTACTCGTTGGCCTATTGCGACCCTCAGCATCTTCCTCTTCATCAAGACTACATACTGTCTGGATTTGCTTGGCTCTCGTGAAATGCGTTTCATTCCAAGCAGTGTAAGAATGGATTCTCTTCCCCTCGTTTGGAGCCTCTAGTACTTGCGCCAACACATTCTTGCTGATGCGCATCACCATCCCATTCACATAGGATTTGAATGCGTGAATGGATCCATTTTCATTGCGCTCGTAGACGATGTTGTTGTAGAAGTACTGTACCATTTTTGGGTAGTATGGTACATTCAGAGATATCACCTTCAGCCACTCTTGCTCGATGAAGGGTCCCAGAAACCCGTAATGCTCGAAATGAGAATACGCATCCGTCGTCAATGGCCTTCCAGGAGCCACCCTGCGGTTGTGCATTCTCTTCTCTTCATAGTTGTCACTTTGCACCTTGGTCTGGAACAGTTTGGGATTGAACTCTTCCCATTCCAAACTTGAGGCAACAACTTTTTGTGACTTTCTTTTCTTATTTTTGCCAAACATCCTGCAATCAAACAAGCAAGAATACATGTTAGTCACATTTTCGAAATGAACAAAACGCGGTCGACCACTGCATAAAGTGGTCGACCTCAGTTAATTTAAAACAAGAATGGGTCGACTCAAACCCGTAACAATTGGAGTACAAAATTGCCTTCATAGGTCGACCTCAGAATAAGCATAGGTCGACCTCAGAAAATTTAAATCGATTTAAAGCCAGATGTGACTTTCAGCAGGAGTGCAG